GACTCCGCCCTCGACCCCGTACCCGTACTCTAAGTCTCGCTCCGTTTGTGTTTTTCAGGGTTTCAGCGTGAAGAAGCAGCTCCACAGTTTCTGTCTCTACACCGACGACAAAGACCTCAGGGACTTCGTGGTGAGACGAGTTCTCCGTCGTCAGGTTCTTCACTTCTTTACTGTCAAGTTTCTGAGCTTCTGATTGGTCGGTCGTGCAGGTGGAGGAGCTGTCAGGGCGGAGTCATTTCCCAGAGGAGGAGACGCAGAGTGTGGAGTTCATCAGAGAGATGGAGAAGCTGGGATCTCTGCCTGTGACCCGCTGTCCTCTGAAGACCACTTCAGTGAGGTAACCACGGAGTCTGGACCACACGGTCAAAGGTTCTGGTCCAGACTCCTGGTTCAAGTCTCCTCTCTGTCTCCTAGGGGGGTTCAGATGGTCCAGAAGGACGCAGGTGGAGGTGAGGAGGTCCTGAAGGAGCTGGTGAGGAAGAGGAGGTCTGAGGAGGAGGAGGAGGGTCTCTGGAGGAACCTCAGACTGGACTGGGTGAGGAACTGGGACCAGAGCTGCCAGACCACCATCCTCCTGTCCAGACTCCGCCATGACGGTACGAGAGACCACCGAGGAAGACCTTTCCAGAAGATGGTCCTGGAACCTCTGACCTTTTCTTCTTCTGTGGTTTTATCCGCTAGAACTGACTTCCTGTGACTCGGCGATGTTGTGGCGTTACCTGACCGCCCTCCATGACCAGCTTCGGGTCGTGGACTGGATCCAGAACAGCGGGTCCTCCAGCGGCGCCCAGTGGCCCGAGTTAACCCCCGAGCTGCTGGACGAAAACACGGTCTGCAGCTCCTACCTGAGGGAGACCATCCTGGACCTGCTGGCCAGGTAGAGACGCCGTTCACACCTGAACCGCCGTTTACACCTGAACCGCCGTTTACGTGTGTGTGTGTGTGTGTGTGTGTGTGTGTGTATGTGTGTGTGTGTGTGTGTGTGTGTGTGTGTGTGTGTGTTCTTCCAGGAGAGGCGTGTTCGTCCCAGAGGAGCGCTCAGACCTGGAGCAGCTGTTGTGGAGACTGGCTCAGGGTGGCGGTGTGATGGCGTCCTCCCCCCCCGTCCCTCAGTACCGCTCCCCCCTCGGTCTGGACCTTCACAGCCTCTTCATCAGGTTCTGTTTGGACCACAGTCTTCAGTACCTGCTCTACTCCTACCTGGACCACTTCAGGTCAGACCTGAGAAAGTCCTCCGTGTGAAGAGTCCAGTTTTTCTTCTTCTTGTACAAGTTTCTTTTCTATCTGTCCTTCCTTCCTTCCTTCCTCATTTCCTTCCTCACTCCCTTCCTCCCTCCCTTACGTCCTCCCTTCCCCCTTCCTTCCTCCCTCCCTTTTTTCCTTCCTTTCTCTCTCCCTCCCTCCTTTCCTTCCTTCCTTCCTACCTTCCTCCCTCCTTCCCTCCCTCTCTCCCTCCCTTCCTTCCTTCCTTCCTCCCTTATTCCCTTTCCCTTCCCCCTTCCTTCCTCCCTCCCTTTTTTCCTTCCTTCCTCTATTCCTTCCTTCCTCCCTCCCTCCCTCTCTCCCTCCCTCTCTTCCTTCCTCCCTTCCTCCCTCCCTCCCTCCCTTCCTTCCTCCCTCCCTCCCTCTCTCCCTCCCTCTCTTCCTTCCTCTCTCTCCCTCCCTCCCTCCCTCCTTTCCTTCCTCCCTTCCTTCCTCCCTCCCTCCCTTCCTTCCTCCCTCCCTCCCACCCTCCCACCCTCCCTTCCTCTCTCCCTCCCACCCTCCCTCCCTTCCTCTCTCCCTCCCTCCCTCCTTTCCTTCCTCTCTCCCCCCCCTCTCCCTCCTTCCCTCCTTTCCTTCCTCCCTCCCTCCCTCCCTTCCTTCCTCTCTCCCTCTCTCTCTCCCTCCCTCCCTCCCTCCTTTCCTTCCTCCCTCCCTCCCTCCCTCTCTTCCTTCCTCCCTCCCTCCCTCCCTCTCTTCCTCCCTCTCTCCCTCCCTCCCTCCCTCTCTTCCTTCCTCCCTCCCTCCCTCTCTTCCTTCCTCTCTCCCTCCCTACTTCCCTCCCTCCCTCTCTCTCTCCCTCCCTCCCTCCCTCCTTTCCTTCCTCCCTCCCTCCCTCCCTCTCTCTCTCCCTCCCTTCTCCCTCCCTCCCTCCCTCTCTCTCTCCCTCCCTTCTCCCTCCCTCCCTCCCTCTCTCTCTCCCTCCCTTCCTCCCTCCCTCTCTTCCTCCCTCTCTCCCTCCCTTCCTCTCTCCCTCTCTCCCTCCCTCCCTCCTTTCCTCCCTCCCTCCCTCCCTCCCTCTCTCTCTCCCTCCCTCCCTCCCTCTCCCTCCCTCCCTCCCTCCTTTCCTTCCTCTCCCTCTCCCTCTCCCTCCCTCCCTCCTTTCCTTCCTCTCTCCCTCCCTCCCTCCTTTCCTTCCTTCCTCCCTCCCTCCTTTCCTCCCTCCCTTCCTCAGTTTCATTAACCACACTCCTGTCCTCCGCAGGTTGACGCCCAGGAACTGTCCCCTGTTGACCAA